CTTCCACGGTTAGAATGACCTGTCATGGCCTAAATAGAGTTCAGTTTGTGACAGAGTTCCTGTCCTCTCGTCAGGCCTGTCCGAGGCCTGCTTCGAGGCAGTAAATCTTGTTTCTTCACTCGAGGTGACCCCTACACCTCTGTAAGAACAGTTTCTTCCCCTCTGCTGTCAGACTCTTGAACATTTAGAACACGTGACTCAATAACTCTGCCTTGGCCACTTTATCATAATTTTGTACATTTTTGTACTTGTTTTTGTTTCTGTAAACTTTAGAGTGGCGTTTTTTAAATTTGCTGTTTGTTTTGTCCCGTTAGGTCCGACATGGATGTGATGCCACCTGTTGGAGCGTGGGACCCTCTGGCTGCCTGCAGACCCTCCTGCACCGAGCTGTGGATGAGAACAATGAGGTCTCTGCCTGCTTCCTCATTCGCAGGTCTGCTGCTTTTTCCCACGTTACACAAACTACAAATCTCTGTTGTGTGAATCTTMGTGTTAATTGGTCACAGAGTATATGTTCTGGCACCGACAAACAGAAAGAACTGTAATTTTCTGATTTATTGCTCAGATTATGACTCTGTTTTGKTAAAAACATTTAGGACTACAGCCTGAGTTTTCTGCCTCTGAAACAAGTTGCTGATCTGTAAACTTCAGGTGGTAAAATCACTGCAGTTAACTGACTAATTGTCTGTGTGTAGTGGCTGTGATGTGAACAGCTCCAGACGGCCTGGTCCGGATGGGGAAGGAGATGAAGAAGCCCGAGATGGACAAACACCCCTTCATCTGGCCAGCAGCTGGGGGCTGGAGGAGGTGGTGCAGTGCCTTCTAGAGTTTGGAGCTAATGTTAATGCACAGGTTAGTCCCATCAAGTGCTTTGTCTTATTTATGTGTGTAGAAGTTTTAACCCCAAAAACCATCACTGAAGTCATATTATACACGGAAGTACATTTTGAAAGATTTTTAATGACGTATATAACTGAAATATTGTCTTTTCTGACAAAATACATTTGTCTGTCATGGATTTGCATTTAAGTCTGATACTTTATTGTCACTTCTGGGTTACGACAATTGCAAAGCGTCCGTCTAGCATTAGGAAATATTGACAGAATGATTAATCATGATTAACTGTGGCATTTAGCTTATCATCATCAAGTTTATTTATAAAGCATATTTAAAAACTAGACATGGGTGTTTACGATGTAAAAACAAGTGTGCATTGCCAAGTAGCATGTCATTGCAGCATGGCTTTGCCTGCAGCAGTGGACTTGCAGAATGAACTGTGACCAAGTTCAAATGTGTTTTCTATACCAGCTTGTGCCTGTCACGTCAGCAGGTGTTTGTAATTAAGGTAATTGTGTGACAATATGAAGTTTGAAGAGATTTTTGTTAAAGTAGCATTAGCTGGGTTTTGAACCCTGATCTCCCACATGAAAGTCCATGACATAGACCATTAGACCAATGGAGCTGTGGCAGAAGGTGGTGGCAGGGGTTGGTTTGTATGTGTACAGAAAGAGGCCACATTGCCAATACAATTACTGACACAAAAATGCATAATTTTACAACAATCGAGCAGTATTAAGACAATATTATAGTAAAACATCAAAATACAATCATATTAGTACTGTAAACACTGAACTACTGAGTTGAAAAATTAAACTATGGTGCAGTACCAAGTTGAGTATTGACTGCCATTATAATTCATTAAACATTAATATTTCATAAACTATAAACTTTACAGGCACCAAAAGGCATAGCCATCATTTGGCACAGGAGCTTTACAGATATAAATTACAATGGCAGCTCTAGGACAATGTATGCAGGAGGAGAAGCATGGCAAAGTTGAGATGACTTGGATGGGAAACGAATCACAATAGTGTGCACTGCATTGGCAATGCACACTGACAAGTTGTCACCAAAGTGCTGAACACAAAGCAAAAATCAATATAAAAAACAAATGACATTCTTAAAAATATTAAAGATAAAACACCAACAACAAATACATAACTCACACTTAATCAGAAATCTGAGAAAACAGGTGTGTTTTTAAAAGAGATTTAAAAACAGGAAGTGACGAGGCCGTTGGGGGGGTAGATTGTTCCAAAGTTTCGGAGCCACGACTGAAAAAGCTCGATCTCCCCTCAGTTTCAGCCTGGTTTTACGAACGACCAAAAGCATCTGATCAGAAGATCTTAGTGCCTGAGAAGGACTGTATGGTTGAAGTAGATCAGAGAGATAAGAGGGTGCAAGGCCACGTTGGCATTTGTAAGTAAGCAGGAGRATTATAAAATCTATTCTGTAGCACACTGGGAACCAGTGAAGAAAGGATAAGACCAGTGACACATGCTCAAACCTATGAGTTCCTGTTATAAGTCGAGCCGCAGCGTTTTGAACAAGCTGAAGACGTGAAAGGGAGACCTGACTGATCCCAACATAAAGTGCATTGCAATAATCTAATCGACTAGTAATAAAAGCATGTACTATTTTCTCAAGGTCAGGTCTAAATATTGGCTTGAGCTTGGCTCTGTCTTAGCTGAAAAAAAACTTTTCTGCAAAACAGAGTTGATCTGCTTGTTAAACTTCAAATCAGAATCTAAAATCATTCCCAGATTTACAACAGACTGCTTCAAATTCAACTGAAGAGAGCCTAAATTAAATGGAATGGTGTCAGCAGTAGCACAAGGGCTAAACACAATAACTTCAGGTTTCCTGTCACTAAAACTTAAACAAATTGCAACCATCCAATCCTTAATGTCATCAAGACATTTTAATAGCAACTAGGAAGAGCAAGCTCTATTTTCAGGTTTCAAGGGCAGGTAGATCTGACAATCATTAACATAGTAATGAAAAGACAGACCATGTTTCCTAAGAACAGACCCTAAAGGAAGCAGGTATAAAGAAAACAAAAGTGATCCAAGAGTCGATCCCTGTGGAACCCCACAGGAAAGAGGCTCTGAGGCAGAAAAGTTTCCAACATTAACACTAAAACGTCTGCGACTTAGGTAGGAACGAAACCAATCTAATGCTGCTSCTGTGATCCCAATTTGATTATGRTTAATATGATGATTAATACATACTTTTTCACTCTAAATCAGTTACCATGTTCTAAAATTATACTTAAAAAATCATCAGTCAAACTGACTTCTTCATTTTAACAGTCACGCCACGCGTTATCTCCTTCCAGCTTACTTTGCTGTTCCTAAGAGACAGATTGAAWGAGCGCGTCGTTGATTATCAGCTGATTGGTTTTCACCATTTTCTRAAGGAGAATTTGTTTCAGCCGATGTTGCCTCAGTTCGCTTATTTTAATTTTCCTCGTACTCCGGTTTTTGGCAGTRTTTCAAGTGATTAAACAAGTTTGTTCAAGTTTATTTATATAGCWCCAAGTCCCAACACACGTTGWCTCAGGACACTGTAGATAAAAAGAACAATGTAAAGAAGAAAGCAGCAGATTGTGTTGAATCACTTCATCACAGTCTCCCATCCTTTGTAGTGTTAGCATTTGCTACACTGCGTTAGCACTAGCTCTGCACTAGTGTTACTTAGCACTAGGTTGGCATTAATATAGTTCTGCATTAGCTTTGTTTTAAATTAAAACTAAATTTAAATGAAACTTGTTTGTACCGGTGTCGTGCAAAAGTAGTTATGCACATCTCATGTGAAGTCTTGTGATAAATGTATTTGATTTTTTTAATGCTTTTTGAGCTGAAAGAATGAGCGGTTGKATTATCCTCGAGTTCACAATGTATAAGCATAAATAGATCCTTTTAAAACTTGACTTTTTGTTAATAAAGCATTCTGTTTGTAACAGATGACTCAGATGAAAGTACGTACTTTGAATGGTTGTTTTTTGTCAGGATGCAGAAGGCAGAGCTCCCATTCACGCTGCCATTAGCAACCAGCACAACGTCATCATCCAGCTGCTCATTTCTCATCCAGACATCCGACTCAATGTTCGCGATYGCCAAGGAATGACTCCGTTTGCCTGTGCTATGACGCACAAAAACAATAAGGCTGCAGAAGCTATCCTGAAGAGGGAGCCAGGTGCTGCTGAACAGGTAAGACAGGAAGACACCTCTGCTCTGTAGCACYGAGAGTTAACCTCATTAATCATATATAACCTATGTTTGTGCAGGTTGACAACAAAGGGAGGAACTTCCTCCATGTGGCTGTTCAAAACTCAGATATTGAAAGTGTCCTGTTCCTCATCAGTGTCCAAGCTAATGTGAACTCCAGGGTTCAGGATTCAGCCAAACTCACTCCGCTGCATCTGGCAGTTCAGGCCGGCTCTGAGATCATCGTCCGCAACCTGGTAGGAGCTGTTAACACTTAGGTTCATTCTTTGTTTCTGAAAACACAGCAACAGTTGTGTTGTTGGTTTTTCACTTTCAGTTGCTTGCTGGAGCCAAAGTAAACGAGCTGACCAAACACAGACAGACAGCTCTACACCTGGCAGCGCAGCAGGACCTGGCCACTATTTGTTCTGTCTTGTTGGAAAATGGCATCGATTTTGCTGCTGAGGATGAGAATGGCAATAATGGTATGTTACCGTTTTTGTTCTCATTAATTCTTAGATCAGAAGCAACACAGAGTGTTTTAATGTTTGCTTTTTTTGATCCGACTGTGAATAGAAATGAAAATAAACTAATTGTGGCTGTATGTAAAAAGTAACTGACAGCATATATGTTATGTTATTGCTGTAAGCAGTGACTGCATGTGCAAAATGACCCTTTCAGCATAGTAGGAACAGTCATGGAGAAACAGTTTATTTCCATATCAGGACTAATTTATTTCGTTTACATTAGGCCATTAATTTGATGCAGTAAACTGCAAAGTTCGTGGATGTTTTTGGAGTATCATTGAATTGTGAAAAACTGCAAACATTGGATTTGATCTGCTAACTGCAGAGTCCATTACTGTTTAAAAAGAGTTTTAATTTGTGATTTAAAAGTTGAGATGGTGCGTAAGTGTTTAATGTCCACGGAGAGAGTTCCAGAGGTGCAGTGCTGAGTGACTGACTGTGGTCAGATGAGCTGGTGTTTGGGTGGAGGAGGACCTGAGAGTGTAGGTAGGTGTGCTGATGAGTGTAATCACAGCACAACTTAGCTGCAGCGTAAGCASCTGGCAAATGTAGATTTTACACTGCCGTCCACTTTTGAACCCTGTGCTCCTCCACTTAATACGGAGCCCGCGAGGCGACACGGGAGGTTATTTTTCTTTTACGTTCCCACGCAAGTCATTTATCACTGTTGTGCTGCTGGTTTATTAACAAACTCACATGTT